TAAGCAAACCAGTAAGCAGTACCCCTCCGTGGTCTGCTTCAGCTCTTGCCTCCAGGTTCTTGCTCAGTTTGAGTTCATGTCCCAGCTTCACCTAGTGGACAATGCTTTGGGGTATGTAAATGAAATAAGTACTTTCCTCTCTAATCTGCTTTTGGTCATGCTGTTTTATCACAGCAATAGTAACTCTAACTTAGACACCACCCATATGCTCCTTGATCTCCCTGCTGCCCAAGCAGCTTTCACTGCACTGAACTCAAAACCCTCTGGACTTAAGAATACCACATTCCTATGGTTTTGTATATTTTGGTTTCATTTCCTTGCTGTATCTGACCACACAGCATGTACGCATGCATGCACACACACACTCACATTGTCTTGGCTTCAGGCAACTCTCAAGACAGGCAATATATAAACTGGGAAGGTGAGGTCTCTTAGTGGATAAAGGCACTTGCTGCCAAGTCTGATGACCTGAGTTCAATCCCTGCTTGGATGCCCACAGTAGAAAGAGAGAACTGATTCCTACAAGTTGTTTTCTGACCTCTGTGCATGTGTGTGTGTATATATACACACATATGTATACACACATATGTATACACACACACAGCAAAAATTATATATAATTCAAGGCAGATAAATCTCTACAACACCTTAGAGTGAACACACAGCAATAAAATTCACGATATAGGATTAATATGGTATCTATGTTTTCAGAAATATCATGAGAATGATATTTAGATGACTAGAAAAAAAGACAAAAAAAGGTCAATGAAATGATTTCTAATGATACCTTGCTATTTCCATAGACTGCTGCCTAGCAAAATTGTCATCAAAGAGGCTTCCTCAGTCAGGTGATAGGAGCAGGTACAGAGATCCACATCCAAACATTAGGTAGAATTGAGAGAACCTCTTGGAATAGGAAGAGGAAGCATTGTAGGAGCCAGAGGGGCTGAGGTATGGTAGAGGGGTTGAGAACATGGCTCACAGATCAACGAAGCAGGGCTCATGGAGACTGAAGGAGCAGTCATGGAGCCTGTACTAGGTCTCCTGCATATCTGTTGTGGTTGTTTAGCTTGGGGGTTTGTGGAAATCCTAACAGTGGGAATGATGTTGTCACTGACTCCTTTGCTCTTGGAAGCCTTTTCCTCCTTCTGGGTTGCCTCATCCACCCTTGACATGAGAGTTTGTGCCTAATCTTATCACATCTTTTTATGCTGTTTTCAGTTGATACCCTTTGGAGGCCTATGCTTTTCTGAAAGGAAACTGAGGAGCAGTAGATCTGAGGGAGGAGGCTGGGGGATTGGGGTGAGAAGAGGCTGTAGTCTGGATGTATTTTATGAAAGAAGAATAAATAAGAATTCAAAGAAAAGCAATGGTATCTGGTTGATACAAAACAATCCCACAGTTATTCCTACAGCTGCTGTTATAACCTTGATCCTCTGCAAAAGCCCTGACCCTGGCCCTGGCTCAGTCTGGTGAGAAACAGTCTAAGACAGTGGTTCTCAACCTTCCTAATGCTATGACCCTTCAATACAGTTCTTCATGTTGTAGTGACTCCAACCATAAAATTATTTCATTGCTACTTCATAACTGTAACTTTGCTACTATTTTGAATCATAATGTAAATATCTGATCTGTAGGATATCTGATATGCAACCCCTGTGAAAATGTCATTCAGCCTGAAAGGGGTCACTACCCACAGGTCTAAGAGAACCAGTGGTCTAAGGAAAGACACCCATTGTCAGTTGGACTGTCACTTTTATTTTTTACGTTTTATTTTCAAAATGAGTATGCTTAACAGACATACAGGAGTTGGAACTCAAAGGTGACTTTCAAAAAAAAAGATACAAAGGGTGCCCACTGTAGATCTAAGGAATGGACCAAGGAACAAAGAACTCCGGCAGGCCCAGAGCAGGAGGGGTTCTCACATCCCACAAAGTTCTCCCGTTCTGTTGCTCTGATTAATTTTCTTACAGTAGTAAGGGATATTTAAGAGCCCATTTTCCCCAGGGTAGAATAGAGGGAGCAGAGACAGCCTGTTGCCCAGGACCCCTTCCTACAGAAAACAACTGGACAGTTTGCTTCACAATTAAACTGACATGGTTTTAGCCCTGTGTCATGGCTCTCTATTAAGTGTAAGGTAGCCTCAGGCACAGAGAAAAGGAAATTGCATTTTTTAACCCTACCCCAAGCCATATTCACCAAACTCCGGACAAATTCATTTTTCTTGCCATTTTCTGTTTTCTAATTGAATTGGAGTGCAGGGACATTGACAGTAGGGTTTGGGCCCTAGTGTCTGGTAACAATGGAGGCTACAGACATAGCTTCTCTTCAGTACAGTGCTTTCTACCTTAACTTGCACTGATACTTCTGCCTGGTCTCAGATTTCTGGCTGTGGACTTTATAAACTTGACCTCAAAATGGCCCCAAACAAAGTAGTTTGTTTTCATATAAAAAAGTCATTTGTGATTTGTTATTATCTTTGTGTTGAGAAAGAATATCCCTTGTTAGAGGTAGTCTGGAGAAATATACATGGCAAGTCAGGAAAAATTATATTTGAATCAAAGATGATATGGTTATGAATTAGGCATAAAGTCAAATTAAGGACAGATAATATATACCATTTATTTTAGCAGCAGCATATTCCTTTAGACATAGTCTTTATTTCACATTTCAAACTTAGGATGTACAAATGTCTGATGCCTCAACATAATATAAATATGCTGCCATTGTTGATTTTGACATGTAGTTTAAAATATACTTACTATTATAATTATGCAGTGGGAATAATTTCATGAGTATAGTGTGCTTTGAAACATGAATGTGAAACTGAGAATATTTCATTATTTTACTTGTAGAAATAGCAAGATGAGTTTTTAGATTCACTTAAAGCAGCAATGTTCTAAATGATAATTTATTTGCAGTTACTAATAAACTTTAGACCTCCTAAATCTATAGCTTGTCTTACGTTTTAAAATTTGCAGTAAAATATCTGTGCCCTATACTTTTATAAATATCCTCAGGGTGATAAGGCATTAAAATGACAATGATATTATTATTTCTAAACGTCTTGAATAGCCTAAAGGTTTCTCATAAACTAATATTGAGCAGGTATGAGAATATTTACATCACACAGACCATACAAGTTCTAATTTTTCACAATGAACAATTCTTTTTAAGAATAATCAGAAATGCAAGCACCACTCAGCTCACCCAGGTTGTGAAGGAGATCAGGAGAACCCCTAGAAAGAGAAGACTGAAACAGAAGGGAGGCTACCAGGCTATAGAGAGAAGCATTTATTAAACTGATCTCATCCCGGCAACTGCTTACTAGATAGCAACTTGTGTTACAGTATAAAGTGCTGAGATATTGAAACACATAAATGTAAAGAAAGGAGGGTGGAAGTTTAGGAGTAAGCCCTAGCAGCATCCATATAAACCCAAAAAGGTTGGGATGTTTGGGGTCTCCAGCCTGGGCCTTCTCAAATCTATCCCTCAGGGTGCCATGCAGCAGCCCCTCCCCTAGAGTTGGCTCATTCCAGACTTCCCCCTGAGAAAGCCCACCATCAGAGCCTCCACCCCAGGAGGGCGTTTATAAGCCCCGCCTTGCGATTTCCCCTCCTTGTGGTTTCTCCTCTTCCCCTGGGGCCACCCAGGAATGCTTAGCTCATATTAAAGCTAGATTTATTAATTGGGTTTGATTGGTTTATTACATCATCAGCAGCAGATATCCAAAATCAGAAAGGAGAAGGAAAAGGGGTGATATTAGTGCCAGGGCAAGCTTCTATCGAGGGAAGTCTGAAGAATTTGCATTCTATTTCAGTAAAGGAAGTCTCTTTCCATGCCTAAGTGGACTTTTTTCTCGGATGTGTCAGTTGATTATAGCATTAGGGTGAGGATCGAAGACCCTGGTTCACCTAGAGCATCAGCAGAGTTGACATCATCTTTCTATTTATTTATTTATTTATTTTTAATCACTGCTTGGTCCAGCTGCCCAAGTCCTCTTGGAACTATGGATGAGGTCTGTTCTTCTTGGCTGTGAAAGATTGCCTGAAAAGAGTGGGCACCAACACAACACACCTCATTTGTTCCTTCCCACCCACCTGATTCACTAGTCACTGCTTGAAAAACCACAGCAAATGGAGCTGAAACAAAAAACAAGGAAAGGAAGGGAGGAAGGAAGGGAGGAAGGAAGGAAGAATGGAAGGAAGGAAAAGAAGCAAGCTACCAAAAGACAGCTACTAACAATGCTCAGAGAAGCCTGAATTTCCTACAAGCAATTCTTAGCATGGCTAAGGAAAGCACTCTGGGCACCATGACCATAAAAATAACAAGGCATTGAACAAGCCTCAGCCTTAATAGTCTGTAAGAGGGAGGACAAAAAAAATATTCAAATTACCCCAGTCCAACTAATGGCACATTCAATCTTAAATCCATTACTCAAGGTTCCTTAGTAACCCCTAGGCCTCTTCTACATTCTGAAAAGAAGTGTGAAGTAAGGTGAGTGATGGCCATTCTCAGATTGCCCTAGAAAGTACCACACAGTCATTGCAGTTCAAGGAGAGAAAATTGAGTAAAATGAGGATGAAATACAGGAGAGTCTGAATCCTGATACAAATATAAATGGGCTTTCTACAATTTTCAACAAAGGAGTTTAATATGGTTGCTGTACACATGCAGCCTGGAAGTCTCACAAGTTGAGGCAAGACTCGATTGTGCAATTTGGGACTGAAGAATGCCCTTTAGGGATCATTTGCTCCAACCCGCAGTTGATCCTAGGACTTGAGCCCCAAGAGATATGCTGACTTGTCTCAGCCAATACAATGACCTCATGGGGTGGGGAAGTTTAGGGCCTTGTCACCTCCTGTAGTTCTTGCAAACTATGACATAAGCTTGCAGGGATTACAGTTAGAATATGTCTGAGGAGAATAAGTGAAACAACAGGAAAAGGAAGCATCACTCCTTCACCCTTGGTCCCAAAATGAGCAAATGACTTTACTCACCAACAGGGAAGAACTCGCTCATTTTCTTTTTGTAGATTTTGAAGTCAACTTCTAGGAAGACACAGAAGATGATTCGGTCCACCTGGAGGCAAACAATAAATGGTTGATGTGGAAGGAAGTATGGTAAATATTTACTCAAAGCACTATTTAGAACAAATAAAGATGAGTGTGAAACCTTCGTACAGATTTTTGGTGCTGGAGTACTAATTATATCCAGCATAAGATGGTGTGTGTGTGTGTGTGTGTGTGTGTGTGTGTGTGTGTGTGTATGTGTGTGTGTGCACTTGATTTTATGAGTTATGCCTGAGTGTGCACTTGAGTGTACATGCTCAGTTTATAAAGAAGCCATGGCTGCTTCAGTGGAAAGATGCTACATAAATAAGAAATAATAAATGACAATCAGTCATGTTATTGCAGCAAGCTGTAAATAATGCTGAGATTCTGACACGGTACCTAGAGTTTATATTCTTTAAAACGGCCACAGGAGAGGCAGATGGATGAGTGATGATAAAGTATGCCAGTAAACAAAGACCTCTTTGTCCTAATCTTGTTACACAAATACAGTAATCAAACCTGTAATCTTTTGAGTGTGGCTTACAAAGTTTCCTTGAGTTTAATTTACATGAAGCCATTTGCTTTTTGCCTAACAGACTCAAAAAAAAAGGCAGCAGAAATAAAATGCTAGGTGACAGTAACCCAAGGTCAATGAACACTTAATTTGGTAGATATTGTTAGGTAAGTGTCACCTCAAAGTAAAAATGTGTGCACAGGCTCCTTCTGTTTTACTTTGAGAGAGTGTTAGCACCTATGAGATTTCTTTAAAATAGTCAAGAATAATGTGTCAATGAGAGAAGAAATGGACTACATATAGTAGCTCACTTACAACTTTTAACTCAGAAATTCAATGTTGTATCTGGAACATAAATACTCCCTTATTTCCTTTTTTCAACAATGAGAAATGAAGTTTAAAACCATTCTGTCAAGGTACAAGTGACAACTGAATAAAACATCAAAGCATTTCTTGTTGGAGTGGGGGATAGATGTGGGGTGGGGATGCAGCGGGACAAGAAAGAACCTAAATGGATGTTACCCATCTAACCTTTCCACTCTTCAGCCATGTTGAATGCAGATCCTGCCTCTCACCATGAGAGCCTTCATTCAGTGGCAAAGAAGCTCTAGTGTGAGAGATGGCAGTGGGTCACAGGAACTGTGACATCATGCAAGTCCAGAGGCTTCCCTCTCTAACCTCAACAAGGCTGGACAGTCTACTGGCCAGTCACTGGAATTCCATTCCATAAACAGTAAGCTACTCTCAAGTTGCCGCATTGACTCCAGTACAAAACAAACAAAAGCATGTGGCCTTAAAAATAGAAAGACAGTGTTCAAATGAGTAGATTTCTTTTTTTTTTTTTTTTTTTTTTTTTCCTATTTTCACTTTTGAGTAGGATGTCCAGTCCTAGCTCTGTGTCATTAATACTGCCTATATACACAAAAAGTACAGATTCCCATTAAATCATTTTCCTGGTGAACTATAATTTTAGTTAAAATAGAGAGCAATTAAGTCTGTGCATGCCCATATTCCTTATGGCTTGTTCATATCCACTGGCAAAGACAAAAACCATGTTGAATGACAAATGTGTATTGGAAGGGCAGATTTTATAAAAACCATTTCTGCATTATTTTAAAAACACAAAGATACAACAATATACGGATCCATCCATGAGTACTATTAAAATAACCAAGTGCAAGGACATTGGGTTAAGTGGCTCTGAGGTTCTTTATAAGCAACACAAAGACAAGCAGAAAAAAGAAACTTGACCTCAACTAACCAGAGGCTGCCACCTGCCACCTAGCTCGGTTCTTCAGTGGGATGATTTGATAAGGCAGCTGCTCCACCATGGAGCAAACATCTTTTTGCCTTGCATCCATGTCCACCCTATAAAAGCCTCCTTAAGTTCTCTGAATGGTGGTCAGCAGTGCAGACAGTCTTCCTGACCTGTAAAATAATGCTGTTCAGAATGCCTCAACTCCCAGTGTGCTGTGTTTCTCTTTCATGTATACTAAAATGGTTTTAAGATGTACATGATTTCTGCAAAGGGAAGGCATTTGAATCATTAGTGCTTTATTTGTTAAAAAGTAAAGAGGATTGAGACAATATGGCACATAGCTGGTAGCTATTAACTCTGGGGTAAGTATATGGATGAATTATTTTCTCTACTTTTTCCATGTTTGGAACATTTCATAATGAAAGACTCTAAAGTTGATAAGATTCTCTTGTGTTCCCTTAGTCAGAATCAGTTTTCTAACTGTGCTGAACCACTTGGAGCTTTCAGAGCCCATAATTATTATTCTGTATGTATAAGCGTTAATTGCTTTTCCTTTATGCTTTACCTGGTCATATTGCTTCTAAATCACCTAGCTATGGTCACAGCTCAAAACCAAGAATTTTTATTTACTGAAAACTAAGGTGATTGCATTGAACAATCTGCTCATATTTATACTTAAGAACAACAAATCAGGTGATGTTTTCATTTTTCTTTAATCATTCATGTTTTGTGTGTGTGTGTGTGTGTGTGTGTGTGTGTGTGTGTGTGTGTGTGTGTGAAAACATGTTGGGAGCTCTTTTAGTAGCAATGCCATTTTCTACTATTAACTTCAAACACCATCCAATTCAGATCAAGATTGCCCAAACATTGTGAGGGATCATAATCTACTTCTGGCTCAATACCCCTGATGATCATGGAATGGTGTAGGTCCAAAATTCATCAGTCCAGTTAATTTTCCACTAAAATGTAGATGCTGAAGTTGGGGGACTTTAATTTTAACATAATTGGGTACTCTAGCTAAACTGTCCTTACTTATAAGCCTAACACGGCTAAAAACAGCCTGCCAGCAAGTTGAATCCAAGTATTACCTTCATTCACTACATACTTGCATTCCCTTGTGCACATTTATTCTCTAGGATGCTATTGCCTAAGGGTCCACTTAATTGATTAAAGTCTATTTTGAAAGTCATTCCAGTACTCATAATTCTTCATGCCATGGTTCCCTTTATAGTATAAGATGATGGTATTATTCTCACTAAGGGGAAGTATCTAAACTCCTGTCTCTTAAGTCTGGGATGCCTGTGATCATGAAGGAATGACGTTAAGTGGTTTGTGAGTGAGAGGAGGTAATGTGGATTCTGTCTAGTACTCTTGGGAGGATACTTCTTATATACAACCTTCATATCTTATACAAGTAGAAAGAGCATGCAGAGAACCCACACGTAACTATTTCAGCAACAGCTCCAGCTGGAAGTGGGTAGTCTTTCCATGATTTCAGCTCCAGGCATTTGAGCCACCCCAGCTGATACATACAGAGCAAAGAGGAGCCACTCCTGCTAGACACTCATTGCAATTCATAAGCAAGACATAGAAATATATAACGACAGACTTGACATCTTCCCGGCTTCTCCTGGCACCACTTTTTTGAGTCTTGCATTTACAGCTCTTTGGTACTTTACATCTGTTGAGAGGCTCAGATTGAACGGATTACACAAGTAGAAACCACCTTTGCATGAGAAAAAGGACACCACCAGAAAGTTTAACTGCTACATGGCTGAGAGACTGGAAATCTGATTTGTACAAAGGAGGAAATTCCTGCCTATTTCATTCTAACCCTGGACGAATTCTAAAAGAACCTTTAACAACGCAGCATGGTACCACTCGTTTTTCTTAAAACCACTAGACAACTTTATAAAATGAAGGCTCTTGAGAGAACATTCATTTATTCATTCATCATCAAGTAAGTTGCTTTCAGTTGGCAGGGCACAGCGCACACACCATTCTGTGTCTACATTAACAAGAGTTCAGAAATTGAGTGGCCTTTTTGTAGTATCAGAAAATTAATTAATGATAGAATCACAGGGCTCCTCACTTGAAATCTTGAATTTTTCTTTTTGATATTACCTATGCTATTGAATTTCTAGGCCTTCCCTTAGATATAGGACAGTGAAGGCACCATCATCTCTGTGGGCCTATTTTCAAGCTGTATAATACAAAAGGAAACCATCTCTAGTGTCTCATCTATAGCTGTTATAGTCCCTTCTTGCACTGTTTAAATTCAGTAAACTAGACCTACACTTCTGTAAGTGTTTCTGGATTAGGGCTCACCACAGGGACAGTTCCTCGGGTTTTGCAGGGCAGAAGTACAACCACAACTTTCACTAGGAAGGTGTTGTTAGAGTTCTAGGCAGGCTGTGTGTGTTCTTGAGGATCATTTTGGGAAGCAGCAAACAAAAAGATATGGAGGTCTGTACAGACAGACAGGAAGTGAGATAGCTGGGTGGAAACAGGATGTAAGCAGGGAGAAACAGGAATTCTCATGTCTCCTGAGATGCTAAGGAGGTAAAGTGTGACTGTAATTTGCTCCCTCCAGAAAGTTACTAACCAGGAGATGCCATGTAGCTACTAGGAAGATAGGATGTCCAGGCATTCTCTGGTAAATCAAGGCCATGTGAAGATACACAGATTAATAGAAACGGGTTAATAAGTCAGACAAAGCTAGCCAATAAGAAGCTTGGGCCATCAGCCAAACAGTTTATAATTAATATAAGCCTCTGGTTTTTATTTGGTATTAAATGGCTATGTTGGGACAGAAACTTCCATCCACTGGTCCCAAAGCAATGAGGCAGGTCCATATGCCACTTTGTCCCAGTGGGTTCTGGTTTACATCAGGGCTTCCATAGCATCCTTATACTCTCCCATGAACTGTTTCTGAACCAAGTACTCTTTAGAAGTCTTCACTATGAGCCTCAGTTAGGAATTCTCCTTTGACCTGGAAGTACCCCACTCTGGGCATGTATTTCCCACTTTGCCATCATTTCACAAGGTATTGTTAGTTAAAGAGGGGGGGATCTTTATTCCCTATATAACTCACAGTATTAGGCTTCTGTCATTAAACTCCAACTGATAGAGTCCTTTTATCAGTTCAATGAGTATTATATCCCCCAGGGAAACTCAGTGAAACACACACACATACACACACACACACAGAGAGAGAGAGAGAGAGAGAGAGAGAGAGAGAGAGAGAGAGTCAGAG